TGCTCAGCTGCCCCTAGTGGCTCCCCTGTGCCTGTGGGATCTGGGGGCACCTCCCCAGCCTCTGGCCCCTTCCGCCAGTTCACGGCCGCCCCCAGGGCAGCCCTAACCCACATTCTTCGATTTTTCCCTGGCCTATCGCAGATTAACGGCATGGACGTCCAGAACCGAGAAGAGGCGGTGGCCATCCTAAGCCAGGAAGAGAACACCAACATCTCCCTGCTGGTGGCACGGCCTGAGAGCCAGGTGTGTGCTCGCCTGACAGGGTGCCTTTGGGGCTCCCAGCATGGGGCTTTGTGTCTCGGCAGGGCTCTGGGCAGGGGTCGCAGTCTCTGGCAGCCGAGTGGGCTGGGTACTCCTCTCCCAGGTTGTTTCACGTCCCTGAGAGCCTGACGGGTGGCAGGCGCGGGACCAGAGGGACTTTTGGGGAGGTCCTGGCAGCCACAGGGATAACTTGAACCTGTGTATGCAGCTGGCAAAGCGGTGGAAGGACAGCGACCGGGATGACTTCCTGGATGACTTTGGCTCTGAGAATGAGGGGGACCTGTGTGCTCGGAAGCTTAAGTCACCCCCTGCCCAGCAGGTGAGGGCGCAAGGGGCAGGGCGGGCAGGGTCCTTGTGCCCCCAGAACCCTCAGCAGCCCTCCCTCCCGCGACAGCCCCTGAGTGTGCCCGTCTTTCTGCCCCAGCCTGGAAATGAAGAGGACAAAGGGGCCCCGGATGCAGGCCCAGGCCTGAGCAACAGCCAGGAGCTGGACAGTGGGGTGGGCCGGACCGACGAGAGCACGCGCAACGAAGAGAGCTCAGAACATGACCTGCTGGGGGACGAGCCCCCCAGTGCGACCAACACCCCAGGGACCCTGCGCAAGTTTGGCCTGCAAGGGGACTTGCACTTCAGCATGGACTCGCTGCTGGCCGAGGGTGCGGGGCTGGGCGCAGGGGATGTGCCGGGCCTCACCGATGAGGAGTATGAGCGCTACCGGGAGCTGCTGGAGATCAAGTGCCACCTGGAGAACGGCAACCAGCTGGGCCTGCTCTTTGCGCGGGCCTCGGCAGGCAACAGTGCCCTGGATGTCAACCGCAACGAGAGCCTGGGCCACGAGATGGCCATGCTGGAGGAAGAGTTGAGGCACCTAGAGTTCAAGTGCCGCAACATCCTGCGCGCGCAGAAGATGCAGCAGCTGCGGGAGCGCTGCATGAAGGCCTGGCTGCTGGAGGAGGAGAGCCTGTATGACCTGGCGGCTGGTGAGCCCAAGAAGCACGAGCTGTCTGACATCTCTGAGCTGCCCGAGAAGTCTGACAAAGACAGCACCAGCGCCTACAACACCGGGGAGAGCTGCCGCAGCACCCCACTGCTCGTGGAGCCCTTGCCTGAGAGCCCCCTGAAGTGGGCTGCCGCCACTGCCACCACCGCCAACTCCAACTTGAACCGTACCCTTCCCGGGCCCCAGATCACCGGCCCCCCCAAGGCATCCGCTGTGCCCGGAAGCCCTGCCAAGTTCCGCTCCCTCTCGCGGGACCCGGAGGCAGGCCGGAGGCAACACGGGGAGGAGCGAGTACGCCGTGCGCCCAAGGCCGGGGTGGCCTTGGAGCGGGTGGGCCCTGAAGGCAGCCCTTACC